GGGGATGGGTAAAAATGATTTTTAAAGATTTTATAAAATCTAAGCATGATCACCAGGTCCTGGTACTAAATAAAGTTTCTTGTCCGCAGTAGCTATGCCTCCACGACGTGCTGCACCTGCGCAACGACCTGAAGGACCGAGGGTACCTCCACCGAATAATGATATGGCGGAAATGCAACGTCAATTCGCACTGTTCCAAGGGAACGTCTGGCAGTTCATACGAGGATGCATGCAACCGCCACCGCCACCGCCACCGCCTGCTGCTCCACCTGCGGCAAGGCCGGCGCCCCCGCCTGCTGCTCCACCTGCGGCAAGGCCGGAAGGAGGTTTTCCACCACCACCACCGATGCCTGCACCTCAGGGAATGCCATGGCAAGTGGTAGTGGACTACTTGCCATTTGTCAAGGAACTCAGAGCTTTGGGCACTCCGGAGTTTGAGGGTTCTCTCAGCCCAGAGGCAGCGGAGGACTGGATGATCAAGATCACCCACCACTTCAACTACATCAGGTGTCCGCTGGGATACCGCACTGAGTTAGCGAGCCATCATCTGGCTGGCGCAGGCCGCCATTGGTGGGGGGGAGTTCCGGGCAGAGTTCGAGCAGAAGTACTACCGGAGGCAAGATCAGAGCCACCGTATTACGGAATTCCTTCGTCTCGAACAGGGAAATATGACTGTTCGAGAGTACGAAGCGGAATTCAACCGACTGTTGAAGTATGGAGGCCACCTAGTGCCGACCGAGGAGTACAAGATCCAGAAATTCATTGCTGGGTTACGTGCTTCTCTCAGGAGAATGATTGAGTGCCATGAGTACCCTACGTTGAGTCGGTATATCAACCAACTCGACAAGGTGGAACGCAGTGAGAAGGAGAGGATGGAAGCCAAGAGACAAGACCGTGGACCCTACAGGAGAGTGCCAGTCAACCGTCCCCCGGTGAGAGTTGGACAGACGAGTCAACCCCGCGACAAAGGAAAGGCTCCGGCGTATCGTCCTACGACCCCGGCTCAGCCAATACAATATAGGAGGCCATGTGCAAAGTGTGGTCGAGACCATACTGGGCCCTGTGGTAACACCATGACGTGCTACCGTTGCGGTCAACCAGGGCATTTTGCGGCGAGATGCACTGCGAACATAGCTCCCCAGACCAACAACAAGCCACCGCGTCCAGCACAGGGGAGATCGGGTGTGGCTCCTAGAGTTTATGCTCTCACAGCTGAGGAGAATGTCCAGGAAGAGCCATACACTGTGGAAGAGCCATTTGCCGCAGAGCCATTGACCACCTACGAAGCCACTGGGGAAGATTACCAGGAGGAGGGTGATGTTGCCGCTATCACAGGTATCATTTGCATACACGATGTTGCATGCTTCACTTTGTTTGACACAGGAGCTACGCATAGCTTCTTGAGTGAGAAAAAGGCAGGAGAGTTATCGATCATGGAGATCGATACGACTACACCTTTTATGGTGTGTACACCTGCAGGACAGACTCTTCCAGTACAGGGGATTTTGCATTGCATGCCCTTGACTATCTGTGGGAGGATGTTGACTGCAGATCTTATCGTCGTACCTATCCGGGGTTACGACCTAATACTGGGAATGGATTGGTTATCGAAACATCAAGCCCAGATTGACTGTCGTCAGCGAACTATTTGGTTCACTGAGGAGAACGGAGGATTCGAGTTCGTTGGGAACAGATCAAGGAAGGTGTACCCCATTATATCAGCTCTGAAGGTTAACACAAAACTGGAAGATACCGCTGTGGTTCGGGAATTTCCCGATGTGTTTCCCGATGAACTACC